TGGCATGTTTCATTACATAGCTATTACTAAGAACAGAACTATGGACAGCTTCCCAGCTTTAGATGGAATGAATTGCGCTGGTATCAACGGCTGGGAAAGATAAAGCAACAGTGCCATCTGCTGACATTAGGAGAAATCCTATACCACATTTGAAGATCTAACATTGTTGTCAAATTGCAAATTAGAGCTTTAAATAACAATGAGTCAACTGGGGATTTTATTTTTTTAATTGCATGGTATTCTGGCTGCTTTCTGTATGTCACTGTGAACTAGAAACAGTGTGCATGGGAGGCAAAAGATATCAAACGTCACAATTGCTATTGCTGTTTGCAGTGGTGGAAAGTGCCAAGCAGGAGGGGAGAAAAACCCATTTTGATATTCATAATATTGATTTCTTGCCTGCCATTCACTGATTACATGACATTCTTTTGTACAAGGTAAGAAAAGCTCAGCATCTTGCAAGGGAGAGCTCTACCCAGAAGTCTCTGGTGGTTAATATTGTTGCAGAATTTGGTGTTTCATGAGCCTTGGCCTTTCTGTTCCTTATTTCAAAGTTGGTTTTGCTATAGCTAACTTCTGTTCTTTGGTTCATGTATCCCATGAGCCTTTGTTCTCTTGCTGGCAAATCTAAGCGTAAAATTAAAACTGTGCCCTTCATATATACCTTTTGCCTGGATTCATAGCTTTCAGGCCCTCCATGTGCCAGACACCTAGCCTAAATATTAGAAATCAGCACTGAGGGCTCAATAGTATCTGAAGAGAATAGACAATAATCCTAGGTAAATCTAGGTAAAAGTTCACTGCTGTTCTTGCCATTGGTAAGAAAGTGGAGTCTAGTTTCCATCATGGACCACCCCATTCTGCGTGGCAACTTTCACTGAATCCTTTAGATATAAAAAAGTATGAATTTGAATGTTTGGGGCTGCTTCTTCAACAACCCCTTCTGTAGGGCCTGGTGAGCAGACAAGGAACATTACTTTTATTATTTTGGGGGCTTTTATATACTACTGGTTGTATTCTTTGTTCATATTATACTTTGGTTACTTCAATAAAATAGTATGTTAGCATGAAGCTGACCCAACTGTTTTTCTCTCTGGAGTGAATTAAATCCCTGGGGTAGTCTCACACCGACTCTTTGGATCCTTGGCCCTCCAGAATCCTCCCCCCCCCCAAATAATAATGATTTAGGATCTACAACAAAATACTGTGCGCCCTGCGTAAAAAAACAAAAAAACAAATAAAGTGCTTTGAAAGTAGAAAAGTGTTTTCAGATGAAAGACTGAATCTCACATGCTCTTCACCACCAGCACAAAAGCAAACACTTTAGGGCTAATCCTGGCACAGTTTATTTTTAACAACTATTTGAAAGACAGGGTAGAAAGACTATGTTATAGATCATCAGAGATTAAACCATAGTTGGCCTAGTACATCTGATTCTCTGATATTAGCAAAGGAATGAAAAATGATGAAACATTCAGTGTTCAAATTCACTAGGAACATCAAATGGGTCATCATCCTGCTGTGAAGAAACAGATCCACTTTCCCAACCACCACCACTGGGACTGGAAGGGGGGCATCAACCCTTATCAAATGCTTCTATATCTTGAAGAATAGTATCAAGGCAAGGGAGAAACTGATCAAGAACAAGCAAGAGCCATAGGCCCATAATGGGGAAGATAACTGTGTAGCAGTCAAGTCACAATTTAGCTGCAGTTTAAAAAATACAGAAGGGGGGTTTAAATGCTAAGATGCTGATCAAATGTAAGTAAGTCAGACTCTTGGAAAGTTCAGCTGTTCTTACTGTAGAGGTGTAACTAAGCACTGTAATGCCCATAAAGGATAACTTCACTGACAGAAGAAATACAACTCTCAAGCTAGATGGAAGAAGTCTTTTTGAAAACCACAACTACAGAAGAGCACCTTGTTGAAATCAGAGCACATATAAAATCCTGGCTCTTGTCCACTTGGTTTAATATGTTCTTAATCCACCATCTGTCTGAAGTTTGGTTCCTTGGCCACTTTGGTGTTGCCCTGATCTTGTAAGGACACATTGTGTTGTTATAGCAAGAGTAAATTAAAGGAACAATCCAACCTGGGAAGTCCTAAACATAAATAATCCCCCAAAGCTATGCTTGATTAGAGGAGATATATAGGAGGTAGACAGAGCTGACCAGATGCTAGGCCATATGATAAACACCAAGAGTCATGGTGTAGTATAAAAATTGGGCATTTATGTGGTGCAGCTGGCTGTGCATAATCTTTTCCTAATTTATGAGGCTGGAGCATCTGGTGCATTGCTGTCATTTTATCATCCCCCCCCCCCCAAGTTATCTTTTGAGTATGAAAAGGCCGCCTTGCCAGTCAATGAAATAAAAACGTAATTACGTAGATTCATTATTACAACCTTAATGTTCGTAAGAAATACCTTTCTGTACAGAACATACGATCTGAGAAGGCCTCACGTCGTTTCTTTCCTGATTTACTTACTCTTCATTTCATAGAGGGCTGCTTGCCAAGTGGTTGCTCCTCTTAGTCTGTCCAAAGATGCTTACCATCACAAGGGAAGTCATTAGTCTGTAGCACTCAACCATATAGTCAAGTAAATTCAGGCCAGTAGCCATGTTGTTCTGAAACAGAGGAACAAAGTTTGAGTCCAGTGGCACTTTTAAGACCAGCAAAATTTTATTCAAGATATAGGCTTTCGTGTGCAAGCACAAAGAAGTGTGCGTGCACAGGACAGCTTATACCTTGAATAAAACTTTGTTGGTCTTAAAGGTGCCACTGGACTCAAACTTTGTTCATATAGTCAGGTAAGTTTTACCTTTTCGAATGAACAAGCCAAAGCTGAAGGGTAAACCATGCTGGATCAAGAAATGTGCTTCTTACACAGCAGTAGGAAACAGAGATAAGACCATCATAGGCTGGGGAAAATGCACAGGAAGCATATGCTGAAATCAAGGATGGGGTATGTCATACAATCCTCTGAATACATTAAGAAAATCATATGGGTATCAGTACATATTTGATATTCAAGGATGTAACTATGTCTCTATTTTTGAAAAACCCGGAAGAGTCCATTTGGATTCCATCTCTGAATACGGAGTCCTCAATCTGACATTTCAAATGTTACCTTAACACACTGCTTCAAACCAGATCCCCAAGTTCAATAATCCACAAAACGTATGAACTGGACTATTTCATAGACCATGCATGTATTAAAGATGTTCAACATCTGCAAACACTGAGAAAACTCAGGGACCTCTGAACGTCAGTATCTTTGAATATAGGAGAAAAATCCACTTTGGGTTATTAGGACAACTAGTTCAGCGCTTTCTTGAAGGATCGACATTCAGCTAGGGATTTTAAATTCATAGCACCTGAACAAATACAATTAAGCAAATTCATCAAGACTACTATTGACAAAGGGCTGTTGCAGCAGGAACTGATTTGGATAGTTGCATTAAACAAAGTGATATGTACCCAACCATCCAGTGACTTCAAGGACCGGGACCTTCTCCGCTTCTCTTCTTGTTGCAGCCCACTGAGACTCCCCTAGTCTTCTTCCAGACCCTGAGTAACAGCACAGGGGGCAAATCCTTCCACTGTGCCACGATCAAACTCTTGTTAATAAAACTCCTCCTCATGTTTTGTTTCACATTTTATAATGCTTTAATTGTTTACATTTTTATATGTGAAACACTCCCCCACCACCAACAGTGATTTTTTTTATACCAACTGCCCCCTACAGAGAATCAGTATTGGTTTCATGCAGCTATATTCCGTTTACATGCAGTAAAAAGGAAACTTCACATGACTGTAAACAAAGTTCTCAGTGGCCAACAAATTTGAAAGCATAAAGAATTCAGTAAAAAAATGTACAAGCAATATACAATAAGATACCCCAAAGAAAATACATGGCTGTGAAAACTGAAGGCACAATCAGCCAAAGACAAGCACTTCTGAGTCCCACTGATTTTTTAGACAGGAGGGACAAACAGGCTTTTAGCCTTTCAATATCTGCTCTGTGACACTTCAGAAGGAAAACAACTCCATGGCTTTTGTGTTGCTAGAAATCTATTTTGAAACCTAGCACTGTCAAAATTATAATTCTTTAAACTACACTAGCTTGTCATATATGTTTTAAAAATATATATAACCCTGTCAAACACAGGAAGAGCCTCAAGGGCAGTGAACCAGCCAGATTCAGCAGCGTTACTTAAAAGTATTTAAACACATCATAATAAAAAGTAACTATATACTACTAGAAAGTTCCTCATCTTATTTGGGTACTCTACAGTTTCTGGACCTAGTGGGCAGAACCGAGGGAAGGTAATATACAGAAAATTTATCAAAAATAAATCCTAGGTAGCAAACACACACCTTGTGTCTAATAGGTTAAAATTAATGCCATTGATTCTCACAGCTCCTTTGTGGCTGCTAGCTAATTTGGGCTGCATCTCTGGGTTTCAAACTCTGTTTTTCAATAAAGTGGAAGGGAAAGCAAATAGAAAATTTTAACTTTGTATTAAATTTTAAATCAAATATTTTAGTGAAGTGGCTACAGAGGATTTTGAAAACTTGACCAGAAAAATGTTAAATGATTACAAAATGGGAAATGAAGAGCCCCTATCTTATATCTTAATTTTCAAAACTGAAATAAATGTTTGTTGGGAGTAACACTACACTTAACATTTGAGAACAGTAATGTCAAAACAAAATTGGTGAAAAAGTGCAATGTGTCCAGGAACTATAGGTTGTAATGTTAATTACACAAAATCAGGAAAATTAACTACGCCTCCAGGATGCTAATGCATTTTTAAAATGAACATAGTAAATTTTGACCCCTATTGTATAGTTCAAGTTATTCCTACTATAACACATGTGTAATAAAGATGCCATAGATGCAACGAACATGAAGTTGAGCAAACTTCAGAGGACGGCGGAAGACCGGAAGGCCTGGCGTGATCTGGTCCATGGGGTCACGAAGAGTCGGACTCGACTGTGCGACTGAACAACAACAATAAAGACAGAAGGAGTGTATTTTTTTTTGCAAATGCTTCCTTGCAGAAAGCAGATCAATACATAGCAGTCTTATGTGCTAATCCATTCACTTCAATTGAAGAGACCTCCACATACACAAGAGGTTACCACAGAACTCGCTCCATTGAGTACTTGGTTCTCTCATGTCTAAAAGTCATGGAAAGCTCATTCAGCCGATACGGTTTTGTACCCACATTTAGTATATCAGACGTTAAGCATTACCTCAACAGATTCTCCTGACAGTTATACTTTCCTCTGTGGCTTCTAACTCATCAGTGGGCATCTAAGCAACTGATGATTCAGAATGTAACCAGTGAGGCTTGTCGTATCCAGACACCTTTCTACATGCTTCTAGGTCTATGGGTTGTTGTACATCTGCTTTGTGAACATCCCCATTTGGAAGATTGTTGCACATTTCTTCTTGGCCACTGACAGATTTAAAATAAGTGTCACTGGCTTCACGGTTTTGTTCACTCTCACAGCTTTCTTCACCTCTGGCTTCCTGGATGGTCTGGGATTCAATAACAATCTTGCCAGAGTCCTCAAGGTCACTGGTCTCAACTTCTGTTAAGTGATCTATCGGTTCCATTGGTTTTCCATCTTCACACACTGGCTTATAAGATAAAGATGATATAGTAGCGTATTTCCCATCTGTTTTTGTCTCAAAGCTGTTGACAGGTTTTATGCTTCTTACTATAGAAACCTTAAAAATGTAAAGCAAAAGGAATAATTAGCTGCTAGTTACATTGCTGGACAAATAAACATACCCCATGGACTGAAGAGCAGTATTTACTAAGTACGCAGCTTACAAACTATGTATGTTCGTTATATAATAGATGGTAACTAAATGTATTTATTGTCTTCTTCCCTCCCTATCCTTTTTTCCTTTTGCATTCCTCTACATAAAACTTCTATCAGATGTCACAGCCAAACCTGGCATATTCAGGGAGAAATATATACAGCTTAAAGCAAAATTAAAAGGTCTCAAAGCATTGCAGCAGTCACTATCCTTTGTTTTGCATTGTCTCTACTAGAATGTAAAACTCTTATTTTATGTCCTGTCTGTTGTGCTGTTAGTACAGTGCTTAAGAGAACACACTAATGTCTCTACTAGAATGTAAAACTCTTATTCTATGTCCTGTCTGTTGTGCTGTTTGTACAGTGCTTAAGAGAACACACTAAATAACAACTCTGATATCTGTACATGAAAGAGAAAACTAGCCAGCTGTGCATTCACATCAGAAAACCTTCTTCAGAGTGGGACTGACAGCAGGGTTCACAGAATTTTCTGTGTGTTCCATCAGTATTTAGTGATTCAATTGTCAGATGTTGTTATCTGACCAAAAGGACCTTATTATAGTGCAAATGAAATTCTGATGGCTACTAAATGGCAGACCACCAGGCAATGAGAAGGCACATCTTGATATTCAAAAGTGAAAACTTTCATTAGCTACCCAACATGTCAAGTAACCAGTTCCTGTAGTTCATTACCCTATTGTGTGAGCTGGCCTCTGGTTCTATCAGAGAATGAAGAAATGGCTTCATTGTTCTTACTCAATGAGAAAGATCCTAGAAAGGCCATTAGCTAATATTCTGGCCACTGTTGACAGAACAGACTTTGGTGAGGTCCACCTTAATTTGATTTCATGTTGCTACTTCTCAGATGACCACAGAGCCCAGAGAAACACCAAACATACAATAGAGATTCCAAGTTTCGTTTTTAACATATTTAAATGAATGCTCAATAAACACTACTATGGGACCTTACTTAAATAACAGGACTAACAGTGCAATCTTATGCAGACTTATTCTAACCCATTGAAATCAATGGGATTAGACTGGAGTAACTCTGCCTAGAACTCCACTGGCGGTTATTGAAAATGCTCAATTGTTTCTTCAGAGACGGATATAAAATTTTAGGCCTAGAAACTTTTATATCAATTTACTGAAGTACATGGCTGAAACAATGCATGTAGAAGGAGAGTCCATTAAAGTTTTCCCTGCAGCACATCTGATAAGAGAAGAGACAAGAAGCTTTAAAGAGCTGTGGGCTTGGGTGCCATCAATATGCAGATGACACCCAGCTATATCTGATGTTGGGCGGCCGGTCGGACTCCACTCCAGACTGAGTCGGCTGAAATTAAACCCGGCAAAGACAGAGGTCCTGGGTCTGAGTCAAATCGGTCCGGGGTTGGGGCTCCCTCTCCCGACCTTTGATGGGGCACCGTTGGGGCCTGCGTCGGAGGTTAGGAGTTTGGGTGTGCTCCTGGACTCCTCATTAACGATGGAGGCCCAGGTAGCAGCCACTGCCAAGTCGGCCTTTTACCATCTTCGGCTGGCGTGGCAGTTGGTCCCCTTCCTCGACCGTGATGACCTGGCCACAGTGATCCATGCGACGGTCACCTCGAGGCTAGACTACTGTAATGCTCTCTACATGGGGCTGCCTCTGTCGCAAATTCGGAAGCTGCAACTAGTGCAGAATGCCACAGCCAGGCTGTTGATGGGTCTCCCTAGACGGGATCACATCCGGCCTGTGCTGAAAGCGCTGCACTGGTTGCCAATGGTGTACCGGATTCGCTTCAAAGTGCTGGTTCTCACCTTTAGGGACCAGCCTAAGGGACCGCCTTTCCCCGCATGTTCCCCCAAGAGCACTACAGTCAGGGAGCCAAAACCTCCTTGATATTCCAGACCCCAAGACCATCAAACTTGCTACGACCAGGGCCAGGGCATTTTCGGTGGCGGCTCCTACCTGGTGGAATGAGCTCCCAGAGGAGATCCTGGCCCTGCGGGACCTTGTACAGTTCCGCAGGGCCTGTAAAACGGAGCTCTTCCGCCAGGCTTTTGAGTAGGAGCCGCCGCCACCATCATTATTCCACCAACGCCTTTCCATCACCGCACTCTACCACCGCTGGTGCAGGTATCATCGGGGGTGCGGGACATCCCTAGAGGACGACAGGGTTGTGGGGACATATATACTGCTGCTGTTATTCAGCTATAACACCTTCAGAACACCATCTTGGTTCTAGGATTCGGAGTACTGGAGCACCGAAAGTTTATTTTTACTAATTTTAATCAATTGTAGTATTCTGTATTACTGTATTTTATACTGTTTTTATTGTTATAATCTGGCATTTTTGCCCTTGTTAGCTGCCCTGAGCCTTCGGGGAGGGCGGGATACAAATTCAAAAAATAAATGAATAAATAAAATAAATTAAAAACTGATTTATTTGTCTCTGTACTCAAAGGTGGTTTCTTCGAGTCACAGTCCTACAAAACACTTCACAGGAAAGTACTAACTTCTTCACAGTCATGGTTTCTCTTGCTATGTCCTAGACATCAAATGAAGTCTATGAAATAGCTCGCCTTCAGCTATAATAAAAACACTTTTGGGTGAATTGGGACTAGGGATGGGCACGAACTGGGAAAATGGAGTTCTTCCCAGTTTGTGAGGTCCCACGAACTGAGATGAACTTCCCTTGCTTTGTGAACTGGTTCAGTTTGTGAGGTTCATGGATCTTTCCCCCCTTATTTTCTGCTGGCAGTGGTCTCCTTAAATTCCTTCTCCAAGCCCCGCCACCAGCGCCAGCATGACTACCAACATGAACCCACCTGAGAGGTTTGTGGGGCTCATGAGGGTGGAATGGCACAAACTGAGGTTTGCGAACCATGAACTGGGTCAAGTTCATGACAAACTTCAGTTTGTAATTCAGTTCATGCCCATCCCTAATCAGGACACGCTATGAGCTTGGACCTAGTATCATATAGCCTCTTGGTTCCTTGTCTTTAGTATGTATGCCTTTCTCTGTGTGACAATGTGTAGGAAATAAATTTCATAATAAGGAATGCCTGAGAAGTCTGAAGAACAATAATGAAGTTAATATTTTAACATAAAAGGTTTTTATTTATTTATTAAAACGTTTATTCCCTGCCTACCTTCCTGGCTCAAGGTGGCTGCAAAGATTCCACTTAACGTTACTTTTCCACCAGTTCATGGACTAACTGACAGTACTGACACCTCTAGAGCCAGTTTGGTGTAGTGGTTAAGTGTGCGGACTCTAATCTGGGAGAACTGGGTTTGATTCCCCACTCCTCCACTTGTACCTGCTGATGTGACCTTGGGTCAGTCACAAGCTCTGGCACAGCGGTCCTTGAAAAAGAGCAGTTTGTGTCAGAGTTCTCTCAGCCCCACCCACCTCACAGGGTGTCTGTTGTGGGGAGGGGAAGGGAAAGGAGCTTGTAAGCCGCTCTGAGACTCCAAGTGAAGGGCAGGGTATAAATCCAATCTCTTTTCTTCTTCTTCTCTAGGATTATGGTGACACTAAGGTTGATAATGACCTGCTAATACATGGGCTGACCCACTTGATGAACAACCTGTACATAGGGAGCTAGTGTTTTTAAGCATCCAAAGTGAAACTGTTATTAGCATCTTCAGTAAATAATAAAACGTGAAATGAAACATCACCAAATTATTTGATAAGGACAAAAAAGGATGACACTATGAGCAGTATTTTATTACCACTGGTAATTCCTCCACTCTAAGAGTTATGTTTGTGTTTACGACCATCAGACAATACTTGTATTCAGTTATAATGATGCTATCTACATGCACATGAAGTCTGAGTCAATACCAGAGGTATCTAAAAAGAAGCCTTCTTCACTTAAACTTGGTGTGTTGAATGTTGTCTAGTATCAATATAAACAACAGAAATGGCAAAGCTGAGGCTGTTTGGATATTAAAACACAGAACAAGAGATGTTGTAGGCTGCTAAACAGAACTTACCAGAGATTTGGGCAGTGGAATGTTTCTCCGCTTAGTCCATATATGTACCAACAATATTGCAAGAACCACAACAGCCGCAACAAAAACAACAACTCCTGCTATGATAGCTCCCATTGTGCCTACAAAATGAAAGAACAACAGTTTGAGACATTAGCAGGACACTGAATATCTTAACTACTACTATTGTATGTCTAGATTTGCTACATGTTGCAAATAAGCAGGGATCCTATGTTATGTCAAGCAGCCCTTTCTTGGTAGTATACAGCTAATCTGCATGGTACCACTAGGGCGCAATCTGAAGTCACAGCTTTTTGTGAAAGCACACAATGGTATAACTACTAAAAAAAAAGATGCCACTTAAAGGACTTAACAGTTTGGGATGGACAGGATTCTACAAGGAGGGATTTCTGGGGGAGAGGATACTGAGGGAGCCAGTCTGCTGCCATTAGTTTATGTTATCCTAAACCTCTTCCTCTCCCAGAAAAAAAGATTAGGAACTGACAACTACATTACCTCTTGTCAGATGTTCTCAAACCCCCCACACAGATAAAGAACACACTACAAGGTATGAAAGAAAATCTAGCTCTGCATTTAGAGATGGGCACAAACCTTGGACTGCAAGAAGATCAAATCAGTCAATCCTAAAAGAAATCAACCCTGACTGTTCCCTGGAAGGCCAGATAATGAAACTGAAGCACAAATACTTTGGCCACCAAATGAGAAGGGAGCACTCACTGGAGGAGACCCTGATGCTGGGAAAGACTGAAGGACAAAGACGACGGGGACGGCAAAGGATGAGATGGTTAGACAGTGTCATAGATGCAACGAACATGAAATTGAGCCAACTTCAGAGGACGGCGGAAGACAGGAAGGCCTGGCATGATCTGGTCCATGGGGTCGCGAAGGACTGTGCGACTGAACAACAACAACAAACCAGCTCATGAACCAAAATTCAGGCTGAACTTGGACCGGTTTGGAGCTCAGGAACCGATGTCCGGGGAAGGCACGTTTGGCTGTTTGGGACTTCGGTCTCTCTCTGCTGGCTCAGCCTCCCTCGCGCAGCCCCTTTAAATGGGCTGTGTGAGGGAGCCTGAGACAGCTGGGCCAGCAGAAAGGAGGAGCTTCACCCACATATTTAACCTTCTGGTTTTGCCTCACCCCCCCAAAGCGGCAGGGAGCAAAATCAAAGGGTTAAATGAGGCCCTTTCCCGGGTAATGCCCATCCCCTTTCTCCTGGCCACAGTGAACCATGGCCAGGAGAAAAGTGGAAGGGATGTCCCTTCCAGGGTGATCCCTGCCCCACAACAAAACTGGATAGGGTTGCATAGTCTCATTGGCAGCCAGATGGGTAAACCTGGAGGTGGCTGAGGCATCAATACTGAAGCTACATGGAATCAAAATTTGGGCGATGTCAACATCACTAAAAGATCACTCCACAGCAGAATGGGGATTCGCTGGAATATCAGCAGAATCTCCAGCCAGTCTCTAGGCACCAGGCACTAAGATCAGGCTTGGATATGTCCCTAAGTATCTACTTGAGGCAAATTATTCCACATCATAGCAGTTCTGCTCCTTGCCACTTGCTTCTATTCCTCCAAATTTCACTTCTGGTGCTGCAACAAATACCAAGCTAGATGTACCTCAAGAAACCCTAGCCTTGAAACTGTGGCTTGGTCAATGTTAGACACGCTGGAATGTGCACAAAGCATTCATTCGGTAATTACAGAGGACCCAGACAAGGACATTGCCTAACTGCTGCAATCCTCTGCTTTGTAGTGGTTTTTAGGTTAAATGCAAGTGCAGTGCCAGCCTGCCCTGTGCAGACTACCAAAGCGCTGATTGACCTGCATATCCCCGCTTGCCCTCTCTCTATCAACCAGCTGACTGTCTACAGCACAGTCTCTTTGCCATTAATTTCCGGCAGCCTTCCTTTTTAAAAAACATTTCATTTCACTTTTCGTCCTCCTTTAATTTTGCTTCCCTTGGGGGTGGAACACTTTGCAAATGACCGATTCCTCACTTCTCTAGCTGCTTCAAGTCTCTCTGCAGTGTTTCCAACAACAACACTGCTTGTCTGCAGACTATGAATTCTGGGCTCAGAAAAGGGGTCAGTGAAGCAGCTGCCCATGTTTATCGAAACAAAAAAACTCACAGTTCCCAAGTGAGTGAGGAAGACACTGTCACAGACACTGGCTGTGTGCTACTGCTGGAGAGCAGGGCGAGCATGCTGGGCTCAGCCTCCCTGTGCAGGCCCACTTCCCCTTTTCTTAGATTTGATCCCCCCCCCTTTGACTCAGAAATACACATTAAAAATTCATTCCCAGTTTTGTGACAAAGTGCCATTACATGAATACACAAATCCACAACACACACCACAACCTGGTGGTACTTGTCAGAACCTAACTGATAAAGAAACAACTAATTAAAGAAATAATTGCAACCATGTTGGGGGAAGAGTGATGCTATGAAGTGGGGAACTACTGACTTAAGGCTGAAAATCCCAAGCACAATTTCAAGGAAGGAAGTCCCATTTAACTGAACAGGATTTAGTAATGAGTAAAATGCCCCTCCCCCCCGGTCTCTGTCATGGGAACTGGTATTATGGAATCATAATGGGAAACTTCTGGCCAACATTAGGCACTGTATAAATGATAGCAGCATACATGACATTTCAATAATAAGCCCCACCATGAATGCTAATCAATCGTTCCTGAAACAAAATGTGATAATCCCCTTCACCTAGGAAGATTCTGGCCCCAAAAAGTTCAATGGGCCACCAGGTCTCCTAGAAACAGCTGTTCATAAGAGTGGCCAGTAGAGAGGATTCACTCTGCTTGCTACGTTGGGCTCTTTTTACTGACATATGAACACTATGAATACTTGCTAGCAGGAAAGACAAGAATGAACATCCATTACTGATTTTGAAAATACATTTTTTGTGGGCACTCCAGGTTATCCACGGGATGGAAAGGTGATGAAAATCATGCTGGGTGATATGACTGGCGGATTTTATTTCCCTTAATGCCCCACAGCCAGCCACTGATGTGCACATTATGAGGTCCTCTGTGTCACCAGAAAGTTTTACCTAATGGATGTCTTGAAGGAAGAATAATACAGCTGGCGTTTGATACTTCACCACTCAGTGAATAGAATTCTGAAATTCCTTGAACTGAAACACAGTATGTGAACCCCAAAAGAGCCTGACGATACACAGTACACACTTCCATGTCGCAGTCCTCCGGCTCCGGTTCAAACATTTCATACTGAAAGAAAGAACTCAAATTCAGAACTTTGTGTTTGGTAAATTCACCCTCAACAACTAAGTAAGCAAAAAGGATATGATCTAGCGGCTTTTTAATTCAGCTATAACCCATGTGCCCTGACCTGGATGGCCCAAAAACAACAAACAGTTCAGTTTTGTCACTTGAAACTTGTTAACTGAGAAAACCTTTTTATGAATGGCAAAGCCACCCACTCCTGCTTCCTACCCCTCTGCTGTCCCCGACTTTTGCTCAGGCAATCACCTCCTTCAACTGTTCTTTTTTTCCTTCATCACTTGGCTCTTTCTCCTGTTTCTCCTTCTCATCTGACTTGGCTCCCTTGTAACTTCCTCTCTGTTTCAGGATCTCAGAACAAGTTTAGTTCTTGCTTTGTTGCAGATTCTGTTCACTGCAAAGTGTATAATCAGCTTCTGCTCCCCTATTATGCCATTCTGTCTGCCTCTGTGAAAGTTCTGATTCTTCCATTCTGCCTGTTTATTATCTATTTAGCAAATGTATACGCTGCCTCTCCAGAGTCCTATTTGAGGAAATTTACAAGTAAAACCAAATGATCATAAGAGCAACAAAAATTATCTAAAGACAAAAGAATCCATTAAAACATGGCATAAGAACAGCATAAAACAACCACCGAGCATCTTAAAAATATTCATAAACAGACCTCAAACTAGAAGCAGACCATAAAACAGCTTAAATATAAAGCTTCTTAGTAAAAAGTCTGGGTAAAAAAAGTCTTGGCCTGGTCCCTTAAAAGGCAGTATGGTAGATACCAGGCTAGCCTCAATAAGGAGGGCATTCCACAAGCAAGGTGCCACTACTGAAAAAGCCCTGTCTCTGGTTGCCACCCACTTCACCTCTGAAGGAGGGGCACTGAGAGCAGGGTTTGTGAGGCACAAGTGGTGGGAGGCAAAAATCCTTCAAGTCTCGTTGTTGTTCTTTAGATAATCACAACCTCTTCTCTCTTTTTTTCAGCTTCTTTTCCTCTGCCTTAAAGTTTGTCTTTCTTCTGTCAGATAAATTTTGTGAGTCAAACAGCAACTACAGCTGTGTAACAACCAACGCTTCAGAAATATATATAACTAGGAGTAAGGCCCATTGTGGTTAGAAATACAACGAGCTCTAGAAGGAAGCTCCAGGTGAGTTTCCCGGCTGTGGCTGGTGGGGTGGCAGAGGGAAGTGGAAAATGGACAGAGGCAAGCCATGTTTCTTTCCTTCTGCTTAGGGCTGCCTCAAGTCATTTTGCTGCCCCAAGTGGGTAGTACGGGAGGACAGCCTCATGGTAACAGATATGGTTCCCTCCCCCCCTGACTTATGTTGATTTGGGGTTATGCAGTGGCAGCTAAGATAGAAAAGCACCTCCTCCTATGCCATGTCTTCTTGGTTCCAAGGGCTTGGAAAGCGATTCCATAGCCAGTTACAGGGTTGCCAACTCTGGGTTGGGAAATACCTGTAGATTTGAGGGGTAGAGCCTGAAGAGGGCAGGGGTGGGGAGGGACCTCAGCAGGGTATAATGCCATAGAGTCCACTGGGCAAAGCAGCCATTGTCTCCAGGAGAACTGATCTTGGTTATCTGGACATCAGTTGTAATAGCTGGAGATCTCCAGGTGCCGCCTGGAGGCTGGCTTATGTTAATTTGGGGCTATGCAGTGGCAGCTAAGGTAGAAAAGCACCTTCTCCTATGCCATGTCTTCTGGGTTCCAAGAGTCTGGAAAACAGTTCGGTAGCCAGTTACAGGGTTGCCAACTCTGGGTTACCTGTAGATTTGAGGGGTAGAGCCTGGGGAGGGAAGGGACCTCAGCAGGGTATAATACCATAGAGTCCACTGACCAAAGCAGCTATTGTCTCCAGGATAACTGATCTTGGTCATCTGGACATCAGTTGTAATAGCTGGGAAATTTATGTAGGGGAAATGATGTGCTGTGGCTGGGGAACATGGTGATTTCTGGGAGATCTCCAGGACCCACAGGAAGATTAGGATATGTATTTTACCACAGGACACATTCAGTGACTCCCAACAGCAACAGCAAATTGTTTACCATGTTAGAGGCAAAGGCCAATCAGGCCGCATATGCAAATGACCTCTGTGTTCTGACTGGCTATGGGGGGGAGAGGAACAGCAAACTGTTTAGAATGTTGGAGGCAGGACTCAGGCAACACAGCCAGTGGATAGGGAGATCCTCTGAGTGACAGATCAGGGAGCCAACTGATTTGGGAGCGTGTGGAATGTTCAGGAGAGTCCATGACACAATTATATAAAGAGAGATGATAGTGTTAATGACAGACAAAGCAGTAAAGTCCATACATGTGAATAGAACCAAAAAGGTACAGGTATAACAAAGAAGTCTTCAATTTACATTGCTTATAGCATAGGTTTAACAAGAAAGTTTTTAAATTACATGTAACAACTAGCACATGAAGAATTCAAATGATATGAGTTCAGCAGAGAAGTCCTCAATTGCATGCAACATATAAATGAAGAATCCAGATATTATAAACTTCGTCTCGCTGAACTTCCTCAGTAATGACAATGACTATTTGTTTCCTAAAGACAGTGTTTCCAAAAGGTCCTTGTATTAATGGGCAACCAGTCCTATTCTTTAAGTGGAGCTTGCTTCTGTGGCTTTTTAGTCTGCCGGTTCTGGTAACTATGAGAAAGTTATTTTCTGATTGTTGCATCAAAACTAACTATTTTTATATTAGATAAATTTAATCTTAGACATACCTTTTGTGGACTTGCCTGTTTCCAAAGGAATACTTTATAGGTAAAATCAGTGAGGTTTTCCTTCACACTAAGTGGGTCCTTCCCATGATATGGCGTGAGAGGATGCTCAATATCAACTATAATTCCATCATCCATAACAGAGAGGTTAAACTTTGGTGGTCCAATTTGGGCTGAAACAACAGAACTTATATTAAGATGGTGGCGCATGGCACTATACTAAGAAAGGCAATTCCAGCAAACTGAAAAGTATAGGCATATTTTGGAAGTATTTTCAGCAACTAATTTGTTGAAAGAAACCAAGGCTTGAAGGCTGGTTGCCTAGCAAAGGCCACTGAGAAGGCATTCATTTCATAAGGCTACAGGCACTGCTGCTATTATTTTTAATTTTTTAAAAAAAGTTTTCCGATTTTTCTGAAAACTTGGAATTTCTGTCAAGTTTGTAGAAAGATCTGTCTTATTTGTTAATGTTATCCACATATTTGGCCAGATTGAGAATTAGATATATTGATGACCAGTCTATTTGCTGATGTAAGTTTATAAGACGACATGCACACTAACAAAGCTGTACTATCAACAATTTATAAAGCATATGCTGAGCATGAGAATCTGAATTCTGAACATCTCACATCTAAACTTACTGTACCTTTTTGAAGTTCTCAAATGTACTCCATCACAAGGGGTGTGTGTGTGTTTTGGCTTATTTTCTCCAAAAAGCAATTTCCCAAGAAAAATAAACTGTGTATACTTCCCTGTAAGAGTTGAGAAGTAAGATCTTCTACCATCACTACAGCCCTGCCATAAAGACCCCAACAAGGCCAGGCAAAATCTCTGGCATGGAAAGCACAGCTCTGCCCCATACTTTAGGCATGCAACAGGGAAGAATCAGCATGCAGTTCTGTGCCACAGTGGAGTGGCATTACCTGGGTCTAAAACAGCACAAAAAGGGCAGCTTCCTACCTGTCTCTTTGAGAAAGGAGAAGCCATTGGAGAAAACTCCGTTTTAATCACTATTATATTTTTTAAAAATCCTAAATCTGATGTCATTAATCAGACACCACCGCATTAAACAACATATCATGAACTGCAGAGACAAAAGCATTGTAATATACTACTTCTGACAAGTCACTAATATTCAAGAGTGAAATGTTTATGTTTCAGTGGCAACTCACCATCCCTGAATGGACGAAATACTTTACTCTCTTTATATTCAGATTCACGTGATCCAACAAGAACTTTAACTCTTGCCCACAATGAAAAACATCCCTTATTGATCTTGTGGGTGAGGTCACAGTAATGTTGTGATACATTTACACAAGAACTTACTTCTGTGTAATTGTGACTACAAAAGAAAAAGGAAAATGTTAAAAGTTCATATTCAGTGTATTTTATAGCATGGCAAAACGTTGTGCTTGTTACTGATTCCTTATAAGAAAACAACTAAATTCAAGGAAACAAAAATACAGGAAAAGCATAACATGCAAGACAAGGCATATTTGCAGTGAATATTAAATACTCTTACCCATAGCACAGGATTTGCACAGTAAAGAGAGGCTCTGGTAACATGCTTTGGTAATTCCAGTGTAAGGAGGTATTGAAATTATATGTTTTTATTTCAACATTTGTTGGTAGAGGCACTGAAAAGGTAAAAATTATTAATGCTTTAACAGAATGCAACAAAAACTGAAATAGTCACTAAGAAGCTTGTATATGTATGTGCCACTAGGTGTAAGGCAATGATTCTTAACCTTTAAACGACTACTGTCCACCAAGATGTAAGATTACAACTAAATGTACTGAAGCCCAAAGTAACAAAAAAGGACTTTAGAGAACTCTATTTATATATGAACATATTGTACTTGCAATATATGTATCTCAGGCATATATTCAACGAAACCCTAAGCCTAATGGCCACCTAGAGCCTGATTATTGGTATTTGCTATGTGATACTTTATAGGGGGGAAATCCAGGATTTTATTTTCAGTATAAGGATGTGAAACTATTCAAAATTTTGAAGCCATGGAATAAAACCTGGGGTAGGCGGGAATTGAAATTGGGGGGAAATTTTAAAACTTTGTAAGATTTACTATCCTATCAAAATAAATTGTACTATTTGACATATTTATGTAATTTTAAATTCTAAATCTTTAGTTTTGTAGAAGTAAAAATGAAAATATGGCCAATATTTGAAAGACAGCTACAAACTTCTGCACCCTGTGTTACTTTAGAATGCACATTTTAATTTTTGGCAACTAAGAGACTGGTGAAGAAGATGATATTAGAAAACAACAAAAAACTGAAACTCAGTCCAGATGAGACAGAGGTACTTTTGGTCAATGACAAAGCTCTTGAGGACCAAGGAGTCAGCCTGTTCTGGAAAGGGTTGCACCTCCCCCCTAAAGGAGGAGGTTTGTACTTTGAATGTGCTGTTGGATCTTGGCCTATGGTTAGAGACTCAGGTTTCCTCTGTAGCATGTCAGCTTCAGCTGATATACCAACTGCAGCTCTTCCTCAATAAAGTGTGATTTGGCCAGAGTGACCCATGCTTTGATCATAGGTTAGGATACTGTAATGCATTCTGTATGGGGCTGCCTTTGAAAACTGTTCAGAAACATCAACTGGTCCAGAACATGGCAGCCAAATTACTGCTGGGAGCTAGCTGCAAGGATTATCATCACCTCTGTGTTGAAAAGTTTCCACTGGCTGCTGGGCTGTTTTTGGGCACAACTCACAGTATAAAGCCCTAAACAGCTTGGGAACATGGTACCCAAAGGACGAACTCTTTCTGTATTGTCTAGGCTGACAGACTTGCTTTTGGAGTGCCTTCCTCCCTGAAGCTCATCTGGATACTACCACACTTCCTTTTATGCACCAGCCCCAAACATTTCTCTCTACCCAGAGTTTTAACTAGGGGATGTCTTTCTAGTTATCTGATGGTCTTCTCCTAGCCTGAGGCCTGTTTTACTAATAGAAGAAGAAGAAGAAGAAGAGATTGGATTTATACCCCGCCCTTCACTACCCAAAGGTGTCTCAGAGCAGCTTACAAACTCCTTTCCCTTCCCCTCCCCACAACAGACACCCTGTGAGGTGGGGGGGGCTGAGAGAGCTCTGAAATAAAATGCTCTTTTGCAAGGACAGCTGTGCCAGAGCTTGTGACTGACCCAAGGTCACATCAGCAGGTGCAAGTGGAGGAGGGGGGAATCAAACCTGGTTCTCCCAGAGTAGAATCCACGCACTTAACTACTACACCAAACTGGCTATCCTTTCAGACTCCTCCGTTTGTTTTATAGAGCTTGATTCAAGTCCAGTAGCACCCTAAGGACAACAAGATTTTATGGGGTACAAGCTTCCAAGCCTTTATTTCGTCAATTTATTTTTATGCCCTGGCTGTTTTAATTGGCTTGGCATATTTTAAAATGCGTTTTTATTTATTTATTTATTTATTTATTCTACTGATTTGGCTGTTTTATTATGTGATTAGCTTTTGTTTTATTTTTATGTGATAATTTTTTATTGGCTTTGTCCCCCAAAGCTCAAGATTTGCAGAGCATCGGGAGGGGGTAACACTGCCCCCATTAACATCATAGCGTAAATTGCGGAGGCAGAGATGGCGGCACTAGAATTGCTGTCTGTCTGATCCCACTTATTCAGCACGTTAGATGTATCACATCTAAATTAAATTCACACATAGCCAAGGACAACTCATCAGCGACAGTGTAACCCTCAGATATGTTCAGGCAGGCAGCAAAATCTTATCGGCCCGCCTGCATCAGCTGGGACAAACACTTGACATGATCTGCATGAATCAGCCTTGAAAGAATCATTACCTGTCCTGAACAAGCGTTTTACTGCAGTCAGGGACTTTCCAGGGCACAGCCAGGCAGAGGATTTGCATACCATTTCCACCCCATGAAAATCAGTTAATCTTTTTCACAATATACAATACTATTTCCTACCTTCCTGTACTAATGTACCCCACATAATCTTTTTTTATGTCTCCATTTCCCACTCACTACACACCTTTACGGTACAGAGACCAGGGTTATGATCAAACCCAGTACTATAATGTGAAAAGGTAAAGGTAAAGGTTCCCTTGCTCGAAAGCCAGTCGAATCCGACTCTAGGGTTGCGGTGCTCATCTCCGTTTCAAAGCCGAAGAGCCAGCGCTGTCCGAAGAAAACCTCCCTTTAAAAGGATGGTTTTATAAAGGTAAACAAATCTTTTCCCCCCATAAAGTGAACTGTTTTGGCTTTTGAACCAAAAAGGGGTATATAAATGTTCTAAATTAACGTAAGAAACTTTTTTTGGCTTGAGTGCTTTAAAAAAAAAATTGCAATTTCACCCCCCCCCCAAGTCTCTCTCTGGCTCCGTGTTAGTTAGCAAAATACAGCACTACTGTATTCCTTCAGTCAAAGAACAGCACTATGGCAACTGTTCTTGTAATCCTCCAGCCTTTCCTGGACACAGGCCAGAGGAAGCCCTGAATGCAACCACCATAGAGCTATGCTGTGTTTCCTAAGCTAACAAAATCCAGCAGTAGAACAGAGTTAGAGTCCAGTTGAACCTTTAAGACCAACAAAGTTTCCCATTCTGGCATGCACACTCTCCCCCTCTCCAGCCTCGGGGGGGTGGGGGGTGGGGAGCAGACCTCGTTGGAGAAGTGAGGCTGCCAGATAACCAAGCATGATGCTTAACCAAGTGGGGATCTGCTGGCTGCTCCTCCACAGCCTGATAGCAGGCAGAAAGGACTAGGCAGAAGGTCCAGGTGGACTCCTGGCCACAAACACCCATGACCAGAACAGGCATCTCCTCCATACTGCTGATCAGCTGTGCAGTGGGCAGAGATTTAAAGGGCGGAGATGCATTCCAGTCCTTTATATCCTTGCTTGCTATACAACTGATTGGTGGCATGGGAACATGGTGCAAGGGACTCCAGCCTTGGGTGCTGCCTGCAAGCTAGCAGCATCAGTGGCAGTGACTTAGAGCTAGAATAGAACAGTGCTAGATAACACAGTGAGTGCTGAATAACACAGCTTTCTGGATAGGTAGAGAAATGCCACTTGGATATTTTTCTTTGGGGCAACTTGTACTCGCCTGCTGTAAAGAAAGCACGCCTGTTGACAACTGGATTTCTGGATTTCTGGATTACTTATTTAGAATTTGGCTGTAGCAGCTGAGCTTGACACCTAACTTATTTTTAAAGAAAAGGAAGCAAATAAAGGTAACAGATACTAAGACCTAGGCTGATTTCGCACTAGAACTGCCTCGATGTTGCGCCGCCGTTTGCTCCGATACTATTGGTCAATTTCACACCCGAAGCTGCGGGGCTGCATTTTGACTCACGGCTTCGCCCGATTTCCCCCGCAGTTTCGTGATCCTGTTTTTTGAGGATCACGAAACTGCGGAGGAAATCGGGTGAAGCCGCAAGTCAAATGCAGCCCCACGACTTCAGGTGTGAAATTGACCAATAGTATCGGGGCAAACGGCGGTGCAACATCAAGGCAGCTCTAATGCTGCCTCGCATTCTGAAAACAAAGCATTCTGAAAACACAGACTTCGGGTGTGAAATTGACCAATAGTATCGGGGCAAACGGCGGTGCAACATCGAGGCAGCTCTAGTGCGAAATCAGCCCTACTGTTTTACAGACTGAAAGCCACACATACCCCAGAAGAAAAGACAGTCCTCACCAGTATAATGGCAGGTAAGAACTTCTCAGGGGGAAGCATGGAGCCACCAAGATTAAAAGGAGGATCCCAAGCACAAGGAAGAATGACTGCAATATCCAGGGTGTGGTGAGGGAGGCCACTGCAATTGTGTACACACATCAGTCCACAAAGACTAAACCCCCATGACTGTTTTTTTAAAAAAAATAAAAATAAAATCCAGGACTTTCCCCTCCAACAGCAGGCATATATTATGTTTTTATTTGTAAAGCTGTAAAAGATGCACATCTTTGCATTTTTCTTCAGCCTGCCTTACACAAAGGGAAGTAAAAGGTTTCTACTTGAAACATCTTCAGCTTTCATTGAGGAAGGAAATCACAATTGCATGCACAACACTCCTTGCATAACAACTTCAATTTAT